ACCGGGGGGAGGCAGCACCTTCCTAGAACCCAACGTAGGGAGCCCAATCTACCGTGGGGAAAGAGAAAAAAGAAAGAGAAACCAACGGGAGATGGAACTGGAGAGGGAAACGGAAACAATATTAGACACGGATACAGTACTAATGATTAGGTTGGATGAAAATTTAGATGTGTAAGTAACCTGTTCGGCCAATATTAAAGCCGGCTAATAAGTCGGCTGAAGCTGATTTGTTGTGAGAGAAAAATACTGTAGATTCTAGCTGATAAGTCGGCTGATAAGTTTAAACGAAGAAGCCTCGGCCTCTTTAGTATTAGGTAGGTATAGATATAGATATAGATTTTTTAAAAAATTATTTCGTACTCCTAGGGAGTAGCTACTTCCCATGTGTATATCATTAGATTTAGGGTGTATATGGCTTGACGAAGTATATGATCATACTAGACGATCTATGATAGTATATACATCAAGTATGCAAGTATACATTGAGTATATGGTTATACTTATTTTGTATACTACTGTCATAGTATTATAATAACATATTAAAAAAAATATGGGTTCTTTTGAAACTTTTTCGCGTAGTATGATTTGGAGTATCATAAAATGAGTATATAAACATACTCAAATTGATAAATGAGTATGTATACATACGCAGCGTTGTTTATTGAACATAGGAGTAACTACTCCCGAGAGTAGAAAAAATGAACCCTAGAATTTTTTATTAAATCGTCAATAGCATTATATCATGTCAATACAAAGCCTTAAAACTACTTCCATTATTCTAAATTACAAGACATTTTGGTTTTCTAGATACATTATTTTTATTATGCATCTAGACATAATGTATGTCTAAATTCATAGCAAAAATCATGTATCTAGAAAATTCAACCGTCTTATAATTTGGAATGAAGGGAGTATATGTATATTGGACCTCAGCCCAACAAAATAGAACAAAAAATAAATAGACAACCGATGTATTCTAGTGAATAACAATTTATTATAAACTAAATTGGCAACCCATATGACTAGGAACAAATATCCTATATGGCAGAATAAAATCTTTCTATATACCGCTGTTATATATATGGATAAAGGACTATATGATGGTTTTCTGTGTATAATGTAGGTATCAAATCGGGAAAATATGCTTATCACATTTTTTTGACAAAAAAGCTTGCGTGTGCCAGGCTTTCGGCCGCACCGCCGGGGCCGGATCTGCTCGGTAACCAGCAACCAACCGCGATACTCCGCAGGTCCGGGAATCGCACTTCCAGCCAGCCGAACCCAGCCCGCCTGCCGGCCGAACCAAAACCTTCCCCCGCCGCATCTCTCGCCTTCGCGCCTCCTGGACGTGATCTCGCGCGCCTGGCAGATTAGCCCATCATCATCGAGGTGCCAATGGTGCAGCTTCCGAGCTTCGGGAAGCGGCGCGTCGAGCCGGCCACGGCGGCGACCGTCAAGGTGGAGATGGAGGTTTTCGGCTGCGGCGGTGCTCCGCACAAACGCGTCAAATCACTGCCGCCGCCGCCGCCTCAGGCACGTAGATCGGTAAATTGGGCTTTTTTTTCTTCCTCGCGTGGCTTTGGTTCTTCCGTTTACGACGGCGCGCGTTGAGATTGAAGGCTACAGTATGCTTTCGATTCTGCACTTCCCCGTGTCGCGCGGATCATATACTCGTGCGAGACAGAAGGTGGCGCGGTGAAGTCTGAACGGCCTCATTGCCACTCTCGTGCTAAAAATCTGCTGAAGTCGTGCCACGTTGTTGTGTTTGGTTCGATGCTGCATTGGCATTATTCAGTTCATGATACATCGACTCGCTGACACGAAGTTAAATGAGATCTCAAGTTAAATTTTGTTTGAGCCTTTCATGTGGATATATGGTTTGACTACTTGAAATCTTGACCGTTGCTTACTTGCTTAGTCTTTGTCCTGCTTCTAGAGTGGAAGTCTAGAAAACATAAAGGTTCCTTGTAAAAATCAGAGAATGTATTCTTGGCGTGATAAATTTGTCCAGGACTGTCAGGTCCTTTTAGTTTGTTCAAATCTACAGCACATGATTTAACTTTTCAGGACCAGAGAATGTATTCTTGGCGTGATAAATTTGTCCAGGACTGTCAGGTCCTTTTAGTTTGTTCAAATCTACAGCACATGATTTAACTTTTCAGGACAGATGCCTGCCTTTGCCATTCATGTCTGTATAGGTTCTTGAGAGTTCTAAGGTGTTTGCAAAACACCTCATAGATTATATATTCTGTTCAAGTATTATTGGTTTGTTCAATTAGTATCCAAACTACAACTGTACAAGGCCCTTTAATTCGTTCTCTGATTCCAACATAACCTGTTGCAGGACCTGTCCTGTGATGTGCTTGATGAACCTAGCCCATTGGGTCTGCGACTAAGAAAAGTCCATCTCTGCTGGACCTTATTCAGATGAAGCTTTCTCAGGCAAAATCTGCCAGCGAACAGTTTGATGCGCACAACAATGTTTCTGATACACCCATGAAGAAAGAGGTTAGATCTGGGGCTCCTGCAGCTAGGGAACGACTGAAAGCTTCAAATTTTCCTGCAAATGTTTTGAGAATTGGTAGTTGGGAGGTAACAAAATTCCAGTTTCCTCTTTTTCTAAGACCATGTGGATTTCCATTTTGTTATTGTACTATATGACACTAGAGGACTGCATATTTGAGCAACTATTTTGCAGCTTTTCCGAACAACCCACCCTGTTACCCTAACACTAATAATATTTCTGAGCAGTACATTTCACACTATGAAGGTGACTTGGTCGCAAAGTGCTACTTTGCAAAGCATAAGCTTGTTTGGGAGGTCCTACATGATGGTCTCAAGAGTAAGATAGAAATTCAGTGGTCAGATATTATTGCTTTGAAGGCAACCTGCCCAGATAATGAACAAGAAGGGATCTTAAATCTAGTGGTAAGTTCCTGAGAGTCTGAGAATGACATATTTTGTTGTAGTCCTTTGCATCTCATCATCAGTTCCTTTAACAACATCCCGTTTTCTTTTGTGAAGTTGGCTCGCCCACCCCTTTTCTTCAAAGAGACTGATCCTCAGCCAAGGAAACATACACTATGGCAGCCTGCATCAGATTTTACTGATGGACAGGCAAGCTTCAACAGGTGAAGAACCAGTGCAAAATGCATTTTCCATGTTGCAAGGCAATGTTCTACATAAAGAAATGTTTTTAGTGGGGAGTTGTGACCTATGCTGCTACTCTGTTTTGTAAACATGTTTAACTTTTTATGTGCATATTGTTTTAGTTACTCAGCTAATAGATTAGCTTCCTATTTAGATTTGCTTGTTTTGATTTTCATGAATGTTTTTGGTAACTTACCTTCTATTACATGTTGATTTATATACTATTATTTTGTTGCCTGCCTAAGGAACTACATACTAAAAAGGATTATGCATGCAGGAGACATACCTTGCAGTGCCCCTCAAGTTTGTTAAGCAAGAATTTTGAAAAGCTCATTCAATGTGATCAACGTCTACATGAATTGAGCCAGCAGCCAGATGCCATATTGCAAACCCAAGTTTTGAACCTAAAGCGATCTATTTTTGAAAATCCAAATGAATCAAAAGACTGCCTTGATCTCAATGGCTTGAAGTATGAACATGAAGCTACTTTGCCCAAGTTCACTGATCCCGTCTCAACATGTGTCTTTTCATCACTCTCCAAGAATGTTGGACAACCAATAAACATAGGTAATCAATTCTAGCGACACAATTTAGTATAGACTGCAAGGCTTCTATATGTGATGTTTTGATATAACCATGTCTAATGCCAAGGTGTTTACAGGATTTGGTGCTGGAGATTTTGAGGGCACTGTTTCTGAGGAACCAAAGAATTGCAATCAGTGGAATCAATTCAAAGTGCCTGGATTGAAGGCATCCATATCTGTGGAAGATTTGGTTAACCATCTAGGTAACTGCAAAGCTGATCAAAGGAGTGTAGGTGATCCTCCTTTGACCATTAATGATGGAAAAACCAAAGAAGTGTTGGAAGATCTTGTTCAATACCTTTTCAGCGATACACAGAGTCTGCCAGCCTCGGATGATAAATATTTGATGGCAAGGGTTGACTCCCTTTACTCTTTGCTTGAGAAAGACACGGTGCCAGCCACCATGCGCAAGCCTGAATGCAGTGATGACATAGGCATAAACCAAGTGGATTCTGATGGCTTTGAGGAGGAGCTCAACTCATCACTTGCAGGAGCCAAAGAACCGCTCACCATTTCCAGAAATGATTCTTTCGGGGAGCTGCTGCTAAACCTTCCCCCAGTAGCTTCTATTCCACAGTTCTTGTTCAACATAGCAGAAAATTCTGATAAATAAATCGTGCAATCAACTCTTACTCCTAGAACTAAAGCAGCAGCTGTACAAATTGTGAATATGAGCAATAAATCAGCCACGCCAGAATTCTGTTTTACTTCTTCCTGTAAATAATTCAGCAGATTGGTGCAGCAAAATGCCTGTTCGCCGAGAAACTCCACATGCAATGTTGGAACTACATTTTGTTTACATTTTGATGGCATTTTCCTTTTAAATGGTACTCTCCCTTGTTAGATATCATTTTTTTGTTTCTCGTCATACTCAGCTTGTGTTACTTGCATATATGACTATACGAGGATATGCCCTCAAGTATACTAATCTTATCAGGCATGCGAGTAGTATATATGACATAGTTGTGACTTTTTGCTATGTGGAATGTTGGAGAAGACATTGCAATTTTGCATAGCAAGGAAGAATTTCATATAACATGTACATACACTTCGATTCAATATAATATGTTCTAGTTTCTCACATACATTTGAAGCCTAGAACGGAGTTGGTGCAGCAGACATGCACCCTTTATCTACAGAAAACAAGCCATGTAATGCAATATGATAAATGAAATTCTACACAGCATATATCTCTTGGATACTCTGAAACTGGTACCTAGAGATGTATGATTTGATACTGATGGAAAATGGATAGTAATGTAATGCTTAATCAAAGGAATCGGGCTGCGGAGCTTCTCCGTCCTCATCAAAACCCTCATTTTCGTCCAGCATGTTCATCAGCATGGTCACCTGCTCATGAAGCATAGAATTTTCCTTCTCAATCTCTGCCCGCTTCTTGCGCTCATCGGCAAGCTGCTTCTGTAGAAGCTCCAGCACACGGGAGTCTTCCTCTAACTGCTCGTTCAGTCCATTGATCTCACGGTCCTGCCCACACAGTTTCCACAGTAATAACATTTGTCAGTCTTCGATGCACATTCAGCAACAAAATTGCCTACAGTTTACCTTAGGCGGCACACAAGCATGATACTCTTTATCGCAGATAAAAGCAGAAGCTAACATTTCAGGATTTTCAGCTTGATCATCGATGCATTTACTAGAAAAATAGCATTGCATGCCGCATGATATCATGCAGGTATGTAGAATCAGACCACTAGAAAGATTATAAACCTTTCTGTTCATTTCTTGGATTGCAATCCTCCTCATGCTCTCCACAACATCTACATTGACGAGCTTATGCTTCTTGCCCACCAGCCATCCCTTTGGATATGATGGGCTCAAAGTCTGGTGGTGGAAGCAGCATTTCAGCACTGCGCTTGCCGTTGATCGGCTCGAGAGGCTCAAAGAGAGCCTTCCGCTTCTCAGATAAGTTAGCTTTTGGGTTTGGTTGTACATCCTCAGCTGTAGCTGTTGTATCTGTTGCATCGTCGGTCTTCATGGGTTCCTCTTGATCCTGCTCATTAGAGTTTCTTTGGTAGCATCTTTGTCAGGTTCTTGTTGCAAGCTCCGGCCATTGGCTGGAACATACATATTGTTAGTCAGATCAAGAGCCAGTGCACTTCCCCAGTTAAAATCTAATGCACACATGACCATTGGCTCTACAATATGATCAGTTGGAAGTTCATTCACTTTGACAACCAATAAGTTAGTGAGTTGTGAGGATGCATTTGGCTTGTCATGTGAACAGCTTATGGAGAGGCCAAGGGATGCTTTTATTCAGTTCTTAGTGAGATTTTTATAGCCCTTTGCTTTCATTTTTTGTGGGATTTCTTTAATTTTTTACATCCTTCAGTGTCTTGCAAGTATGCTATATGTATATGTACCATCCTTCATATAGAAGCAAAGTAACAAGGGACCGAAATAACACACTGTATTCAACATAAAGATCTATTCATGAACAATGCGGCAAGCTCTGAAAAGAAGACTGAGACATCGTTTTTATGTCTGTCAGAGAGTAATTTCCAAGGCAGATTTATTTTAATCTGTCAGCGTCACATATTGGTCAGTATCAACTAGATGTAGCATCAGATTGACCTGATTAGCATTCCACGACGCTACATAATCTGACCCACATGAGACACGACCATACTGCCGTCTGGACATATGCTACAATATACTCATATACGACTAGATTGTAGTTTATCTGTTTGTTCCATACTTGACCATGCCTAGACGGCTACTCGGTTAGAATTGTTCATACTTGTCTGCTGCCATACCTAGAAACTCTAGGACGCTACACCGATTGCATACTACTAGTCTTTTGGCCTTGTCTTCACCGCGGCAAAGAGGGGAAATAATTGAAAGGCAGAAACAGACAAGAAAACACACAGAAATCTAATCCCACGGTAGCAAAATCAGAAATTACTTGCTTTAAAGGGTGTCTAGGAATATGATTTCTGGCTGCAAGCATATTCCTGAGACCACTATTACTAAGCACCACACTGGCAGCTGCAGGCTTGGGATCTTACATCTTAGCGGTGAAGACAAGCAAAGACTGAGACGTCTGCTCTACCTGTAGCTGACAAGGGATTGAAATGACCAGTTACGCTCACGTGAACCACCAAATGGCGGTTAGTTATCAACAGCAGTTAAGTAGCACGGGTGCGTGATTAACGTGCTATGTTAATTGTTAACTAGTACTGGCCTGCCGGTACGTCACACCAGTGAGCTGGCTATCATTCATCCCCACACGAAATATCTCAACGGCACATTCCGGGCATCAGTACCAAAACTTGTATGAACAAAAAAGGAAAATGTTCTGGTCGAGAAAAAAAAACCGGTGCTTGTGGAGGGAAACAAAGTAGCTGAGATTAATAGTGTTGGTGTGAATCTAATTATGTTGCTGTATGAACTGTATGTCTGTATTACTTTCTTTGGGCAGAATTACAGAGAAATTTGCAGAGAACTGAGCTGAAATTAGCCAGCTTTTTCAAGAACAGAGAAATAGATAAGGAGGGGTAAGTCACGAGAAGACGATTCTTGGGGCCAAAAACAAAAGCACTTGAAATCAGCAAGATTTTGTATGCAGGAACAGGAATTGGAGACAGCAGGCACCTGATCTCCTTGACTTCCAGAAAATCTGGGGGTTCAGCCGAACGGGCTCCTCCATGCCTGGCTGCTCCCTCGCTCCCTCGCAGCAGCAGCACAAAAACAAATTGCACCCATCAGCTTTCAGCCGCTAAATCTCGCTTCTTCCGCCTCGAATTCCTCCTCGCTTCCAGGCCTCAGCAACCATGTCAATCAAAATCTCACCTCGGCTTCTGGCTCCAGGCTCCAGGCTGGGCTTCCTTTCTCCTGGACCCGGTTGCCGCGCCGCGCGCTCTACTCTTTCTCCCTGCCTCTTCTCGCTCGCCTCGCTCGCTCGCTGTGTCTTGTTGGTTGCGTTATCTCGTGGCTCTGGGCCGACGGATGGATGTGTGCTGTTTTGGAGCGCGAGAGGGGCGGTCCCTTGGACACTCCCGTTTCTTGGCCGTGTCGTCCTGTCGCCGTTGGCTTGGTTTTTTGCTTCTGAGGGACGCAACGATGGCCGAGCGCATGCACTTCTCCGTCGGTTGAGCGGATCGGGGCGGGCATGCATTACCCGCCACCAACAACCACTTCTCCCGTAGCCATGTTCGCGGGAGACGCGGGATCCTTCTGTGGCCAGCCGCTGCCACACACGCCACAGTATTGTTGCACACATCAGAACCGGTCAGTCAGTTAGTGTTAAGCTCCATTTGTCAGGTTAATTTACAAACTTGGTTTGGCAGCAGCAGACTCGTTGAAATAACCTTCATTTGAAATATTATTGTTGAACCGATTGCAATGGCTTAAGACAGCAACGCAAAATCGGCCACAGATTCATGGCCTGTTTGGATTCTCTGATCTAAAATTCTAGTAGCTAAAGTTGAGGACTAGAATTTCAGACCATTCACTAGTGTGGTCTAAAGCTTTTGTGAGGTGTTTTAGAGTTTTACTAGTGACTCTTCTACACATGATTTCTACCATGGTAGTTTTTATTATTGACGGGTTCTACACGCATGCCTTTTGTTTTTTTGTCCCTTCTCACACCATTTCCCCATCCTCTCTCTCCACTCTTGTAAAATAAAGGCCAGAGAAGGTAGGAGGGGAAAACTGGTGACGGTACCGAGGGTTGCACACTTGTGCCTGGGGATGTCTATCATGGATAGGGGTGAGGGAGTATGAGTGGAGGTGTATGGGAGAGAAATATGTACTGGGCTTGGACCAAAACACAGCTAGCCTAGTAACCTAATGTAGCCCCGTTCGCAATTGCATGTCTAGTTGTCCAACATTTTGCTAATGGGACAATTAACCATATAATTAGATGACCAGGTTTTAGGTCGCTCTTATCGAGTTGGAGTGCCTAATCCAGCCCGGGAGATTGATTAGGATGATTGATCAAATGACTTTGATAACACCACACTAGGTAAATATACCATATGCACATCTAGTTAGTATGGTTTAGCTTCATCTCTCGTGAAAAGTTGAATAGGGCTCTAGATTAGTTTTTAAGTGATCCAGTTCATCCCTCCCCTCTTGGGCCACTCATTCTTTACAATTGTATCCAAGAACGTCCGAGTGGAAAATGGTGGCCATTGGTGCCTTGTGTATCCATTGTTTATGTGGAGTTTCATGGTAAAGCGCCAGAACTCAATGTATCCATTGTTTGGCTTTTCTTTGCTAGGTGTTTATCCTTTTGTACTTGATATTTTTGAATTTAGGGTCTTGAAATGCTATGGAAGCGCCTTAAGAGCCCTTTAATGTGCCACCTGTCATAAAAAAATATCTAGGTTTGTCCTAAGTGAAACTTTTAAACTTTGATTATCAATTGTCTAAAATCTTATATAAATTGACAAATCAATGTTGAAATTTCTAGTTTCATTATGAAAATACTTTATATCATATAACTCTTTTTTCCATATTGCATCCTTTTTGACCGGCGGTTAGCACGCCACTAACAAAGCAGTATCCCTACCATTGTACCCTGGTCCACGAGCATGGATGCACTACAACGTACCTGGGTTGCTGCAACAATCAACAATTGGCATTAAAGAGTAAATTTACGTTTGCATTACACATTCCCATTCGTTGTCTATCTGACATGCTTAAATACCTTTCGTGATGAACACGCTAAATTTTCGATGTACTGCTTTGCCAAAAAAATCTATGACATCTCCATATTATATCATTGTTTTAGGAAGAACAGCCACTAACTATAAGTGCCATAAACCACTATGATGACATGGCTGTTTTTGCACTATAAGATAGGTCCGAGAGAAGGCCAAACAGAGACTCACTTGCTCATGGGGAATGCCCATGAGCTATATGTTTCCACAAAGTTACTTGATTAGGAGCTTCTCTAGCGAGGATTAGGGGGAAGCGAGAGCTTCTCGATACATCGGGAAAAAATCGTCATTGGCAAGTTTGCATTCGCTAACTCATTTACATTTCTGACACTTTTGCATTTATAGGTTGTGTGCTTTTCCTAATCTAGCTTGTTAGGTTAGCTGTTAGAATTGGAATCATATCTATGCTGCAAAACTTTATTTGTGTCAGAGATAGCAATACTTTACAAAACCGTAGTGTACATTTATGTAGTATTTTGTGTAGGTTTTGATAATAAATAGGATATAGAGGACTTTAGGTTTTAAATTGTCTAGCTCACTCGTTTGTCTAGATATGCATAGAACAAATTATACATTCTCTTGTAAAGCATAAGGCATATTTGGTAGAATATAGAAAAAGAAATAGCACGTGGAAGGAGGTTTTCGTAGAACGCCCCGTCCCCAAGCGTACGAAGAACGGCCCAGCCCATGCAACACACGCTGGGCCACGAACAGAGGAGAGACCTGGCCGGCCTTTTTCTTTTGTTTATTTATTATTTGTTTTTTTTATATACTTTTGTTTTTTTTAATTAAAGAGAGAGAGAGAGAGCGATTTGGACCAAACCGGCGCGGCTCTTTCGGAGAAGTCGGCGCCGAATCCTCCTCGACGTTCCAGTTGGGCATGCATGTGAAAGCGACGCAGCCGCCGGGCCCACAAGTGCGTGCAGTCCAGCTTGCGTCTGCATTGCATGCCCAAACGACGACTCGCCTCCGACTCTTTCTTTGGAGGCTGGCTGAGTTCACGAAGCAGCACGGCGCCGCCTGCCTATATAACACGCAGCAAGGCTGGCGGCTGGCCACAAGTCTTCTCCTCTGACTCTGATCTGAAGCGCGTACGAGAGAGACGCAGGCGGCGGTTGAGGAGAAGGAGGGGAGATCCATCCAAGACGACGAAGATGGCTTCCGCGTATGCGTCATGGTCCAAGAGGTGGATGCGCCCCGAGGTACGTAATTGGTGTGCTGATCTGTTCGATGGATCATGGATCTGATCGATGAGTAATGTCCCTGATGGTGGCGTTAATTCATCGATGGATGCATCAGGTGTACCCGCTGTTCGTTCCGATGGCGGCGGCGCTGGGCATCTGCTCGTACCAGCTGGTGCGCAACATCACGGGCAACCCGGAGGTGCGGGTGACCAAGGAGAAGCGGGCGGCGGGCGTGCTGGACAACCACGAGGAGGGGGAGAGGTACGCCATGCACGGCCTCCGCAAGTTCGTCCGCGGGAAGAAGCCCGAGATCATGGCCTCCATCAACTCCTTCTTCGCCGACCCTCCCAAGGACGCCTAGGCGCTAGCTAGGCGGATCGGAGACCGATCCAACGATCGTCGATCATATATTATCTATCATTCAGTACCGGCCGTCGGTAGTACATTTTTGCTTTTGTATTCTAAATAATGTTCCCCCATATAAATTAATGGAAGAACATGCATATGTTGTGATGCGTGCTTGGCGGCGAACAAATGAAACAGTCCTAGGCCTGATGATTTTCATCACATACCTACCGAATTCGAATAACTATGGTGGTGGTGTTGCGTGCTGTGCTTGGCTGCGAACAAATTAAAGCCGGCAAAGGCAATTCGCGTTTGGCCACCGATCGACGACCGACCGCGTGCGTGCCAGTGGCCAACTGGTTGCCCGTATCAATCTCAATCAGTTCCGGCCGGCATGTGGGAAATAAAAGAGGCGAACCGACGGTCGCTGCCTGCACGTTGAACGCCCGGCTCGCGTGCGCCCACGACGCCCCTGTGATTCGCTTCCGTTTCCACAAAGCAAGGCAACAAGGTGCTGCTTAGCCCAATTCCAGCTTTCGAAACCCAGCCTGTGGAACGCGCCGCCGCTAGCGCTTTCCGGCACACTTTCCACAAAGTTTATATTCCCAATGTTTGACCTAAGTGAAGTACATATTATGCATGTAACGCACCCTTCATCGTAAAAAGATATTTATATTACAATATAGTTTTTTTTTTTGGCGAGACCCACATGGGTTGGTGATACAAATATAATTGTTGGCATACATACGAATGCCGCCATTTTAAATAAAGTTACTTCACCCTTTATATTTTGGAATCTTTTTAGTGCTTACATTTAGATCTCTTATATTTTCAGATAATGGATAGAATACTATAGAGCCTCGAAGAGTTCCCAATAAAGCCTCTCATTCTAGGATTTTTTGGCACAATAGAAAAACACATCTCCAAGAGTCCCCAATCCCACCTCCAAGCTTTTGGCAATTGAAAAAAAATCACCAAATGCGCATGCGCCTTCCACGAGCGTATCGGTCCGCCAATCTAAGGTGGAAGGGCATGAGAAAGAATAAAGAGTAGGAAAAGGTTTCTGCTGCAAATGTACAAGAGAGAAAAATATATAAAAGTGATTACATAATTTAGAATAGTATAGGATTCCTGATGTAAAATTGTCTTCTATATTTTAGGAGTGATTTATTGGAAACTATTAAAGACGGTCTTATTTATTCCTCCCAATACTTTTCGACGAGTTGAAAAACTCCATAGTTTTGAAAAGAAATTCTTGAGAACTCTCGGAGATGCTCTAAATGATATCCTTACAAGTTGCACTACATTTTTAACAAACAGTTGGTACCATAACTTAGTACAATCCTAAACAATTGTTGAAACAGTTGGTACCATAACTTTATACAATCCTAAAAAAATTGTTGAATTTATTAAATAATAAGGTAACCTTTCCTATTAAACATTGTGGAAAAAAGTATGTCTATGATGCTTCGCATATAGCTAGTTAAAGTGGTATTCAATCTCACGTGTCGTTCCTTATACGTGAAACACATGTGAAAATGGTTGCATGCATGTCCTTAGAAAATTTCTCACTTTATTATCTCTTTATTTGTTCATTAAGTTTCAGTTTTGCAATGAAATTCTGTGGACTGATATATATCATGTTCATCCCCATCTCTCGCAACAGTCTTACCAAACTTGTGCAAAAACGTTCAGTGCAAACCTGCTTCTACCTAGTGGAATCATGAAAATCTTTTAGAAAAAACATACTTAGGAGTTCTCGAAACATTTGAAACTATGTACATCCATAGTGCATCTATATATGTGTATTCTAGAAAAATTTGAGATTCAACTCGATCCGTAAAAAATCATATTGAAATAACAAATTTTAGATGCATATGCACTAGAAGACAAATTCTCAGGAATTTTGTCCTCTAATGCATATGCACTTGAAATTTATTATTTTAATATGAATTTTTATAGATTGAATTTGAATCTCAAAATTTTCTACAATGTACATCTGTTGATGCACAATAGATGTGTATAAATCATATTGAAATAACAAATTTTAGATGCATATGCACTAGAAGACAAATTCTCAAATTCTCTAGAATTTGTCTTCTAGTGCATATGCACTTGAAATTTGTTATTTTAATATGAATTTTTATAGATTGAGTTCGAATCTTAAAATTTTCTACAATGTACATCTGTAGGTGCACAATAGATGTGTATAATTTCCAATTTTTTGAGAACTCCAAAATATGTTTCAAAAGGTTTTCATGATTCCGCCAAGTAGAGGGTTTATGCTGAATATTTTCCGGCATCGCAAATCCTAACATAGAAAACCAATCGTACACGGGATGCCTAACACAGAAAACTAATGTTCCCTTGAACTTATCAGCCTGGCTTATCAGGTATGGTACAGTGCTTTTCTCTCACAATAAATTAACACGTAGTGCTTTTCAGCCTGACTTTTCAGCGAAATGAAAAGGTCTAATACATGCTAGATACAGATGCAAGACGGGTTATCCACGAACCTGTAAATAGGTTTAATTTTTGCACAAGATGGTGAAAGTCCCTCAAACTCTGCCATCCTCCTAGAAAAGGTGATAAATAGTGCATCTCAAATGTCTCCAAAGTCCACCCACCTTTCACCACCCGATCTACTGGTAGCACATGACCGCCAAACAACAATGACGATCGACAATAATTCCTTTTGAGCAGTAGTAGTTGAGCTTCTTATTTCCACAAAAGCCCCATAAATTGGAGTATCCCTTCTCTAATACTATATATGCTGGCGGAAGATCATTTCAGATGATTACACAGTAGTTTGGTCTGAATCTGTGAAATTGTATTGTTCAGATCCAACAACTCTTCCATGCTCAAAGCGAAAATCTGGAGTGGAAGTGAACAAGCCTCAAAAGAACAAATCGGCTCTTCCAAAACGGCACGATGTACTTAGCCATGAAATTGTCCTTGGTTTGAAGAGAAGACTCAGGCTGGATGACACAATCCCAGCTAAGACGATTAAGTAGAGTGCTGCTCAGGTGACTCACGACTGATGACTGACAAATTCTCTAATTAGTAACTACATAGTGATTTGTAATTGTCCGTATATAAGCAAGTAGAATGCGGCTCAAGTGTGTGACAACTGACAAATTTGTCACACTTGCTTGTTCCTGCAATGGGTGATCAATGATGGACTATGCAACAGACACAGCAACCGGTTAAATTCTCTTGCAGCTTTCTGAATCCAAATGGAAAGCACCTACGGGATGAGGAGATGATCACCTCCCTTCCATGTAAAAAAGTTTGATCAACGGTTCAGTGATGACGGGTGACCTGTGCTGAGGCAAACTAGCATGCCCTATAGTCTTGTAATCTTCAACAAAAATGACATGACTTTGCTTGGAGACAGTTCTAGATGCAGCTGTTGCATTCAGCTTCTGAAATGAAATTTCCCTTCCTTGAATGTTTAGACTTAATGGCTAAATCTCCTATGTTATGGTAGTACAATAAAATTCCTTCTTGTAATGATGATTTAAGTCATAGAAATCACTATCATGCCTACAAATGTAGAAGTCCGAAGAATACCGGTTATACCACTAGCAACTCAAGGAATGCAGGTTTCCAAGGCCTTGCCGGCTCCAATAACCCCATATCGACACCATGAGCATCATTGATATTTTTAAATCCTGGCATCATCGATATTTGTAAATCCCGGCCTGCGCTCAACAGAAGGCACGGCAAAGCCGCGCCAGTCTTTCTAGTCTTCTTTGATATTGTTCAGTCTCCAAAAGTCAATTGTCAAACATGTGATGATTTCATCATTAATCAATAATATAATGGACCGTATATGTCGTATTTCGTCTCACTCAGCAGCATCCTCCAAACTTGAAGACGTATATTAAATCCCTACTGGCATATAATTATATGACTATGGCATGAATTGCCATCGAAATGAGTATAAAAACATGTACATAGAGGGGCATCAGCGGCATAATTGTCTGGCGAGGAGTACTTGTTGAAGGGAGGGAGCATGATTCGTTCTTTGTAGAAAATGTAACCACTGAATTTCAAGGAAAATCTGTGCACAAGTATTTTATTTGTATTCCTTACATTCATCCAAATCTACTACTCCTTTCATTCCAAATTGTAAGTTGTTTTGACTTACAATGTTGTTTTTAGCTTATCAAGATACATAGCTTGTATTACGTACCTAGACATAATATATATTTAGATACATAGCAAAAACTAGAAAAAGTCAAAACGGCTTATAATTTAGAATAAATGAATTAATTCTCTCTGGATCCCAAAGAAAGAAAGCATCTAGATTGTATGGATTTTGCTTCAGTTTATTGGGTTTCATTGATTTATCCTCCAACTAGAAAACTATAAACCCTCTCACTATTTGAAGCTCCAAATGGGCCCAACCGTCTCCTAGCTTTGAGCTAGGCCGTTTGTTCCTTGCGCCATCGCGTTAAAATGCACCTCGGCCCAAAGGGCTGAGCCGTGATTCATCGACAGGTCCAACAAACCACCAAACGTAATTTTGCGCCCCCTAGTTTATGCTATAAGCTAAATTTAAGACCAACCAAGTACTTATAAGTAGCATGTTGCACTGCCGAGCCGACAAACATTGCAGCACTTGTGGTTGTTAGGATCGGGATGAGTACCTCTGTGTGTGTAACCATAGATGCGGTGAAAGCTCCTCTCCTCTGTAGATGCACTGCAGCGGGAGACACCGGTGCCGTCAACGTAGCAGCTGTCCAGCGCGGTGGAGACGATCACCAGTGGCGCTGTGGAGGTCCTGCAGAGGCGAGGCAGAGGCGGCGAGGTAGCGATGCCGTGGAGATCCAGAGGGGATGGTAGTGACCCTGCAGTGGGTCGACGGCGGTGGTGGAGCACATCCCGTCGTTGGCAGCACGGCCTTTAGATCGGTTTAGGATTTCTCAGTAGGTAGGTGTGGCGGCTCCGTTCAACCTCGTTTTATTGAGCCCAGTCCCCACTCCTCTATTTATGTGCTGTGCGACAAGG